AACATTTAAGTAATTTGCCTCGATCTACATCATTTCGCTCAGTGTTTGAAAGGACATCTGAATGTTCAATATTTAACTTAACGTTGGCTCGAATAATTTCTGCCAATATTGATATCCCTGGCTCAAGAATCTTGAAGCACTTTTTAAGGAAAGATATTATCTTATTTATAAATATGATATTTAGATTATATTGCATCACATACTTTTTCATCAAATCGCTGGCATACCATTCGGTTTATAAAACAAAACTCACCGCCTCTACAAGAGAGTTATCTTCATTGTCTGCCAACTTTCGAAAGCTCTTCCTCAATGGTATCGTGCCTTGGTAAACGCAATCAATGTAAACGTCCATTCGGGGATCAGGCTGACTCTGATGCACGAGGACGATTATATTTTTCAACAGGAAGTTCACGTTCGGCGTTTCCAAGTTAAGGTGTTCCGCAGTTCGATGACCATCCTTGTCGATACTTTCGAAGATCACTGAAACAAAGTAAGATCGTTAATCAAAGAACATAATGGAGACGATTTTTTTTATGAAGATCAGACAATTTGTTGTACCTTTCTTACCTCGTTTACTTCGCCTGTCGAGCATAAGTACCATTTTCTTTTTAGATCTGTCGTACTTCGTGGCTAGAAGAATATCAACCGTTGCTTCCGATTGCTTCTTTCTCGATTTAACGTTCGAAATGGCAATCACAAAATCGTTGTCCCATGTTTCTCGCAGATCTGTCGTCAATTCTATGAAACATTCATAACGTAAACGTAACGGGAAGAAACATTAATTAAATTTAAGCTTTCAGTTGCGTTCACGAAGATATGAGTTTGTATAAATATTCGTAGATAAATATTCGCTATAAAATATTGATTTTATTTTATCGTTCATTAAAACGGCATTAAACGATTAGAAAGAGGGTTAGTGACTTAAATGTAGTTCGACAGTTTGACCATTTGATACCTAATTGAAAATTCACAAGTCTACTTCCATAATTGGCAAGCATCAAAATAGCCACTTCAAGTTGAACCGCTGTAAAAACTATTTAGCGTTCCCTGCGTGCCGTTACCGGGTTTCTTGTCAAGTTGCATGGCGACTGGTTTGCAATACCGTAAACACCCGTATGGGAACAGTTTTACGCTCACTGTTTTGCTATACGTACTTTGCCTCTATGATTATAGGATAAAAATGACAGCAAGATACGACACAGAGAAACTAATTAAAACAGACAGTTATAGATATAGACAGCACAAAAAAAAAAAAAAA